ACTCTCGAGAGTAATTTTAGTGACTGGATTAGTTTCTTATTGCTGCTGTAACAAATTATCACAAATTTAGAGGCTTAAAATAGCAAATTTGTTCCCTTCAGGCTGGAGGTCAGAAGTTTAAAGTCATTTTTACTGTCAAGTTGTCGGCAGGGCTGGTTCCTTCTAGGGGCTCTGAGGGGAGAATCTGTTTCCTTGTCTTTTTCACCCTCTAGTGGCTACTTGTATTCTTTGGCTTCCTCCATCTTCAAACTATCACTCCAATCTTTGCTTCTGTCATCACATTGCCTTCTTCTCGGACTTCCTTGGCATCTCTCTTCAAGGACGCTGTGATTATGTTGGGCCTACCAAGATAATCCAGGATAATCTCCCCATTTCAAGATCCTTGTCTTAATCACATATGGCAACTCCCTTTGCTATATAAGGTATCATTCACAGGTTCTGGGGATTAGGACACAGATATATTGGGGGCGTGGGGAGGCATTATTCAGCCTACCACATTGACCATAGTTGTTTTTCTTTTTTTTTTTTTTAATTCACTGATACTATGCTGTAATTCTCCTTTTCTATCCTAAAAATGTCATCTATTAAACATTTGTTCAATGATGTTACTAGTATGAGAACTGGAGGAAAAAAACACATGCAAATCAATGATATTGGAATGCAAGTTAGATATAAGAAGATATAGAGAAGGCTGTTAATTTAAGAAAGATAAATCTTTTAAGAAAAAAACATCACCATATAATGTAAAAAAAAAAAAATTGGGGACCAAGTTGGTGTTCTAGGGGAAGGATCAGTGCAAGTATGGTGTGCCCTTAAATTGTGGATTATTCAAGCTCCTTGTGTAAAATTAGAACCACCTTGTTCTTTAAAATGTATCCTTCGTTTTTTACACTCTGCTCACTCCTCAACCCACTGCAATCTTCCCCCATCACTTTATTAAAATTGCTCTTGCTGAGATCATCAGTGGCCTCCTAATTGACAAGTCCAATGAACATTTTTCTGTCTCTTTTGACCTGTGGCATTTAACACTACTGACCACTGCTCATTCTTAAAATTTTTTCCTCCCTTAGCTTCGGTGTCACCCTTCTGTTTTTCTGTCTATGTTTGTGGCTCAGTTTCTTTCATGGCTTTTTTTCTCCACCCATCCTTTAAATGTTGATGTTCCCAAAGGATGTTATAGGTGCTCTTCTTCTCATTCTACATTCTCCTTCATTGACCTCATCATATCCAGGCATTCAAATACCGCTCACTGGTGATTTCCCTCTATCAGCAGTCAAGACTTCTCTCCTGATCCATACAGCTAATGGCCATCTGGACAACTTCACTTTGATAGCCATGTGCAGACACAGAGCATTTTGAACCACTGTGGGTGTTTCACCCAATGTTTTTGAATACAGATATTTTAACTGGGCTAATATTGATGAATGTTCATCAAGAAATTCTATTAAGCAACTCCGTTAAGCCAATTTAATTCTTGGATCAATTTCCTATGCAATGTTTTTCCATTTTATTGTAATTTTCACTGGGATCCAGTCTTTCCTATATTCATTTTATAAGGAAGATTAGTCAATTTTTGGTTCATTTCAAATTTTACCAATGGTATCTTCTGCTACTGAGTTCTCTTGTGGCCACTATAGGAAGATCTGACTTACTTAGGAAATAATACAAAGTGTAAATCATTTATTTTAATCAGGTCCATTTTAATAAAGTATATAGGAGTTTACAACTCAAACAATTATTCATAAAAACTATCAGATACATAAGATAGATCACACAAAGAGTGCAATAACATAAATCCAATAGTCTGCAAATAAGAGGTATTGCAAAAACTGTTAAGATTGACTTTATAAATGTCTTTTTCCTTTCCTTTCCCATGTTCACAGCTCTTGAGATTGCATGCACATATTGTTTTCTGAGGTCTGCTGACCTCAATACTCCTTACGGGGGGTCAACCTCCTCATTCAGTCAACTCAAAAATACAGTCAGTAGAGGGAGTTCACCTCTTCTTCATGGAATGAGTATGGTCCTTGGCCTTTATTTGGTTTCTACTCCCTAACAAGTGACCTTAAACGTTCCCTCTTTCAAAGTAACATCTTGCAGGCCTTGTGGTCTTCTGGTCACCACTGCCCTCCCAACACCACACATGAGCCAAAGGTTCAGGTCAACCCCTACTGAGTTTCATCCTTGCTGATGTGAAGAGCATGCTTACCGTGGAAATGAGACTAAGGCAATGACTGATTTTTCCCACTCTTATCGAGAACAACTCCAGTTCTAATTCAGAGAGTTGTTGGCAAATGGAACTGAATTTACTTATGCCAAATACCTACTGTCACCTCTTGGTATTCTTTGGATTGCCTTCATTAAGAGGTCTTAACACCATGGCAGAAAGCATGATACATACATACATACACACACATACACACACAGACACTCCATTCACACTTCTCCAACAGGAGTCTTTGGTAGACTGAGAGAATACAATTGACTTCCATTTCAGAGTGAAAAGGCTGCCATTGTCTTCTCTCACTCCCAAAGTCTCACTTTAACTGACATTGGTAAAAGCCATATCTGCAATTCCTTGCCAAAAGAAATCAGATTCCTTTAACATGTATATCTGGTTCTATTACAATGAAATGCAGATAGGGCCGGCCCTGTGGCTTGGTGGTTAAGTGCGCGCGCTGCGATGCTGGCGGCCCGGGTTCGGATCCCGGGTGCGCATCAAGGCACCACTTCTCTGTCCATCCTGAGGCCGAGTCCCACATACAGCAACTAGAAGGGTGTGCAGCTATGACATGCAACTATCTACTGGGGCTTTGGGGGCAAAAAAATAAAATAAATAAAAAAAAAATCTTTAAAAAAAAAAAAACAACAATGAAATGCAGATAACATTGACTTGATTTCAAGAACAAAATATTGTTATCATAAACTCAAAACAGTGTCACATATATTGAGACTGCTGGCAAGTAGCTCAGACTAAATTTCCTATGGAATTACAAGTTATGGGAATACTGGATGAAGCCACCAGTGTGCTGGTTACATTTAGTCATTTTTACAAGCTATTCCAGAGTCTCTTCACACATAAACTTCCCTCTGCACTCTATGCCTGTGTTAGATGAAGGTGGAGAAATGCCTTTGGGTTGTGTCTCCTCAGTAAGGCTGGGCTTCTGCCAACCTTCCTTCATCCTTAAGAAATTCATAAGAAATGGGGAAGGTGAGCCCTTTCATTCTTATTTGGAATTATTCCAGTGTGGTGAGATTATCACAGGCTAGGCTGAAACTTAAGAAGAAACTGTTTACAGTAACGAAGGAAGCAAATAAAAATTGACATGATCATTCAATCATACCTCTCATCATCCACTTATTGATACGTCATAATGGGGGAATGTCAAGTGAGGAAATGAAGCAGGCACAGGAACAAGGGAAGTGAGCTGGGAAGACTTGCAGGGGTAGAGAAAAAACAGGAATGAGCTGTGTCGAGCTGTGTCTGGCAGTATTTTAATGATGGGATCTTGCGTACCACACATGGGAGGCCTGTTTCCTAACAAAGGTCAAGGTGCAAATGAGGCAGATGGGACCAGGAAGTCAGAGAGCAAGCTGGCATCCTGGGAATCAAGACACTGCCAGAGTGCATTCCCACATCTAAGCTGAGCCAGGTAGTTGTTTTCTGCAACCTAGCAAATTTCTTCTGTAGCAAAAGAACACAAAAATAATTCCCAACTAGATACTACTGTTTATTTTCAAGCATTTTGAAATCCTTCCTTAAGTGAACTTCACAAGTTTGCAAGTGTTCTGGTGGTTAAAAGAAAAAAAAAGACAGCCCAAAACCACACAAATGGTAGTTGACAAAAGTATAAGAAAAACTATAAATTTAAATTACATGATTCCATTTAAAATCTTCATGTTTACTCCACCAGGCAGGTTAGAAGAGGATTAGAACTCAGGAGTGGCTGTGGGCACTTACAAGGTGCCCCTGCCTCCTTAGAAGCTGTGGTCTTTTCAGCGGCTCTCCTATGTACCTTTCATCAAAATAATCTGGGTTCCAAATGTCTCAGATAAAACTGCATCTGTGTGACCAGCAGCCATTCCAGAGTTGATTGGCACGTGTTCTCCAATTTCAATTCCAAAGACACAGTAGAGAATAACATCTTTATTAAAGGGACCCAAGTGACTCCGTTTTAAGTAGTATCCTTCCTGCTAGAGAGTTGGATCTCACCCTCCTCCAGTTTCCTATACAATTTCCTATTTGATATAATGCATACCTATTATATGATCTATGTATTGATGACTGTTCTTTATGGGATCAAATACACCATGATTGAATTTCTGTTGTCAGATCACTCTGGTGATTACACTTACTTTAAATAAAACTGAAAATCTGCTATTTATGTCACTGAAATGTCCACCAAATAGTTGGAAACACTGATATTCATGTATTCTAAAACTTAATAAATAATGGGTCAATAAGATATTGGTATTTTTCTTGAATGTTTACAAAGAAATCCTGGTTGCCAGATTAAACTCAGACCTAACATGGGTTTGTGAAAACATATACACCAGTCTACACATATGAAATTTTCAACTCAACAATGAGTGAGCCCAGAATTAAATAGTTTATGACCTAGATTTCATTAGGTCCTGCCCAGCGTCTGCTTCACCATCAAATTTTGTTTATTCCATTTTCCAATCTAACAAGGATTTGGAGCTAAAGGGCTTGTATGTGAGCCCAAGATACATTTATGTTAAGTATTTTTCACCACATATAAATAACTTCAATAATTCAATAGTGCCTGTTAGTCAATTAATGTGGATTCTTTACGAGTTCATCAGTGCATGTTGTGGTTCAATGCTTTATGTCTAAATATGTTCTGGCTCATCGTGCGCCACTGAAATGAAAGGTCACAAGTTTCTGCATTCCCTATCAGATGTGTAAAGCAAATAACACATAAAACAAACTAAAACAAGAAGTGCAGTATATTTTTGACTATATATTTTCCCTTTCCCTTTAGTGTTAACTTGTTGCAGTATAGTTGTTGGAAACATGCATTTGCTACTAATTCAAAGCACTCTGAGCACTCCTGATTCGCTTAAAACTAAATTTTCCAGATTTCCAGATTCAGGATGGCTTCTGGCAAGAACATTTTATCGTTAGATGATACATTTACCCTATATGATCCAAAGAAGATCAGTGTGGAATTCACTAGTTATTAGCTAATAATTAATGTAATCCAAGTCAAAAAATTTTCATGCATCACTCAGTAAGAATAATACAAAAGTACTTTGCATGTATTTATATTTATTTCCTATTCAAAGAAGGTACTTCAAGTCTCCACTCATCATAGGTCTCCAGTCAGAATAAAAAAGGGTTACAAGCCCATGCTTGACAAATGATTCAACTATATAATAAAATCACCATGATTTTATTGATTTTACCTTAAGAACTAAAATGGTGGCTACTTGTTTAGGAAGGAGTGATCAAGTAATCGAAGGAAAGATATTTTGCAGGGCTGTTATAAAAGTAATCCTGAATATTGGAAAAATGAATTAGAATGACCTTCCACTTTTTGAGAGTTTTTGACTTGGGGTGAGAACTCTCCCTGAATATTCCTATCCTCTTAGTTCCTGCCTTTGATGGCTTTAATTGATAACGGCCAGGGGAAGAGTTTGGTGTGCAAAGTTCCATATGCATTAGCCAAAACTATTCATACAACTTGAAAGATGATTTTACATCCATTGTTACACAGAACAATCAGAAATGACCCTTGGGAGAAAAGCAAACTCTTAGAATAAACATTTAGCGTCCACCATAGTGAAAGACTGGCACAGTTGAAACCTCAGTTGGAAAACCATTGCTGGTAGCCCTGATCCAGTGCCAATTATTTAAGTTTATCTTTTAACCTGGACATTTTAAATAGGTGGAGACTAAACTAGAAAAAGTCTTGAAAAGTAGCTGTTCATATTTTACTGCCAAGATCTCTGAACTTCTTAAAGAGTATGACACCTACTCAACTGCAGTAGAGTCTGGCATTCAGGCTTGATTCTTGGATGAATTTCCAATAATTCTTAAATCATTAATCTGGTTTGGTAGGCAACTCTCCCAACTTCTCCAGCTAATGGAGAAATCACTAACGTTTACTACAGTCCAGGAAGCTTTCAAGTTGAAACATGGTGCAGCAACTCTTTCCATTAAGTTGAACTTCCTCAGCAGAAATTGTCACATTGAGACGTAAGTTTCATTTTAAGGCACTAATAATAAAGGGATGAAAATAGCCAGGAATGAGTCAGATCTTTCCAGAGACAGAAGACATTTCAAAAACACAAGTCAGTCACCTATCTGGCCTACTTCAACATCTAAAGAGGACAGAGAATTGAAAGGTTTTCATGGCTAGCTGATTCAGCTCTTTTCCATTCTCCCAGACAAACTTATTTACATGTCTCAGATTTATATTTCCTCAAGAGGCAGTAGAGAAAGATGGCAAGGATTTGGAAAAAACAAACAAGCAAACTAATCTAGTAGCCCAGTCTCATGATTAATTAATTCCATAATGACAGTATGGAGTGCTCAGAACTAAGGTTTTTAAGTTCTTTTAAAAATTACTAAGACCACATACCCAGAGGTTGGAACTGTAACAAGGTGCTCTTTTCCATTGTTCTCAGGGGAAAATGTATAAGGATAATTAATTTTTCAAGATCATGTAAACGGAATTTGTTAATAGCAAACAGTAAATTCTGGAGGAAAAAAAATCTACTCTGAAACCTCAGTTCCAGCAGGATTTTCCCGCACCTTCCAGTGAATTCAATCTTGCCACGAGAAAAGAACTAAATAAAAACAGGGCTCAAGTCAGCTATGTCAGGAGACAAACACCAGTCACTGAGTGATTTTGGAGGTAGGCATGATGGGACAGGATTTACCTAAAGAAAAATGCTTCCTGTGCACACACACATGCACACACACACCTGTGCACTCATACTAATTTTAAAAGTGTGGATGTGGGGAAGGCTCAACACTGTTAGACATGAGCACAGATATCTCATCTGTTTGCATTTTCACATAGGAAAGGATGTGACACGCCCGCAGACACTCTCATGCATGAGGGCCAGCCTGGCTTGCACAGACTCAGAGACAGATCTGGAGAATCCTTCTAGAGCTGCTGGTTTTATAGGAATGATTAGTATCTGCAGGATTACACTTCCTCTTGATGTGCAGGAGTTTTATCTTGCATTTCTTTCCAGAAATATCCCCTTTGCAAGTCCTGGAGGGACTAATCTTAATTCCTCGATGGACATGACTCAGAACAGGAACTGCAGGAATAAACTAGCAGTAACATGGCTCCTTTGGGGTTGGGGTGAAGTATTTCTGGATTTAAACAGTTTCTGGGCAAACAAAAAAACAGCAGAGTTCTGAGTGGAGATAGAGATGGAAATGCCCGAAAGTCTAGAAATCAATATAAACAAAAGAAATGAGCATAACTTAAAGGGGTTTCAACTAAGTCTCACTGCAACTGAGTTTGTTGACTGAAGAAGTTCTACTCTGATCCACGGAACTGAAAGATAATAACTGATATATTTCTTCTTAGGAAGGCTCAGCTGGGAGCGATGTGGTGGGTACCGAGGGTGGAGTAGAGACAGAGGCCTAAGGCTCAGGTATCGCTCCTAAGGTTTCTGCTTGCCTGATTTTGAAGGAAAGGGTGCTAAAGCAAAAGGATCAGCAGCCGGCAGCTCCATAGTCCTGGAGGAGAGGGATGTGATGGAAACAGAGCCAGCTATCGACTGCTTGTTGGTTTGTGAAACAATTTTGTAGGCAGCGATGGGCTGGGCTTCTGGACTTGGCTCATCTTCTGGGCTATAGTGACGGGAATATTTGGATAAAGACTGGGGGCGGAATGGTTTGCCAGCCACGGGGCCCGTAACAGCTTCTTTCTGGGGCTGAAGTCCTTTGTTTCTGTCATTAGGATGGCCCCCAGATTCCAGGGAGGATCCCCTGGGAGAGGTGCTGTCAAGATGGTCTGCTGCTTGTACAGAATGGGAGGGGAGGTTAGATTGTTGGACAAAACCAGTCACGGAATACTGAGCTCGGACAGAGGCATACACTGCTCGATCAAGGCCAGAGAGCAGAGGGACATCATCTATCTGACTGAGGAGACTGGCCTGCGCAGGCAGCTCCTGGGAGGTGCTCTGGGCAACTGTTAACTCCTCCATGCTTTTCTTCTTGGTAAAAGGAGCTCTCAAGAACACGTCTGCCTCCTCTGGCTGAGGAGGAGCCACACTGCCCTTGGAGACAAATGGGGCTTTGGAGAAAATGTCCATGTCATCAGTCGGAACCCTTGAGCTCCTGAAAGGGGCTGTGGCAAAAACATCTGGCTCACCGAGACCATCAGCAGTTGGTTGTGTGACAGTTTGGAACTGGTTCTTTCTTCCACCTTGCACTGCCTTTGCTTTCTCAGTAGAGATTTCTGGCTGAGCGAACGGAATGGCTCCTCCCAGCTTCTCCTGTGGAGGTTTGCAGCTCTCATCCTCGTCTTCAGACTCCATGAGGAGAGGTCGAGACCCACTGCAGTCTAGCATGTCCCCCTCAAGGTCAGTCCCTTCCTCTTCACTGCTGTGGAATGAGCTGTTGCTTGAAGGGCCATCTCGGGCCAAGTAGTCAGATTCTAAACTGTTCTGAGTTTTCGTGCCAGGTGCTCTGGAGGGGTCTGGATACAGGGGAAGGCCTTTAACACCCGTTGATGCTTTAAAGTGCTCTACAGTTATTACAGGACAAGGATTGGGCTCTCTCTGGAGACCTAGAAAAGTGTAAAATGCAGAATTAATGCATAGGTCAGTTCAACCTTCTTTGGAACATTTAATGGTTAGCCCACGGCTGAAACATTGTGGGACCAAATAATAGATGTTGAAAATGGAAAAGGAAAAACAGAAAAATAAAAATCAGGCAAGGAAACTGCACACGAACTGTAACACAACCAATCACTGTCTCACATTTTGGAACAGGATAGGCACAATGTGCAGGAAAGGAGGTGAAGATGTTAGGCACACAGACATTCAGCATAGCTACACAATGCTCCTACTCACGGGGCCAGGCACAGGCACCTGCTCTACCTGGCACTAGCTCACGATGGAATGAAAACAAACCCAGTCACTCATCTCCACATATACCATGACAGTTCTGGATTATGTCGAAATACTGTCTGGGGACAAATTCAATTCAGTATCTGACATGTGGTCCTCTGCTCCACACTGCCTATATCTGAGGACAGAACCACCCCTTGACCCCGAAAAGCAGCAGAACATGGCTGCCCGATAAATCTAAGTTTATTTGATGATTTACATCACAAGCACTACTCAAAGAGCACAGAGTGCCCCAAATATGAATACTAAAGGCACCTTCTAAGGGGAGGAGACAAAATCATATTAAATAAATCACCTTCAGCTGAAGTTGCCCTGGAATTTTGTTGTCAGTCTTCTAAGTTAGCAAAGATCTCCTCTGCTTAAATGAATCCATCATAAAGTTCTTTAAGCAGAAGAAGTAAAATGCATGGGTAATTAACGCAGTATTTGCAAACTCTAATATACTAGTCTATTTCTATCTAGGTAGAGGTGCCTCAGGGTGCTCTGGCTTTTAAAATCAAATAGACAATTATCAGAATGCAAGAGAGCTTACCTTCCAAGAAATATTAGCAGGTTAGAAGTATGTCATTGGGCACATGTTAGCAAGAGGGCAGGAAAAAGGCATATGTAACTAAGCAAGAAGAATCCAGAGAAAGGGTGGTTGGGGGCAAAGGTATCATCTGATCATGGGTTTCCCAACCCACCAGGATAAGAACATTAGGTTCAATGGTTTGGATTCAACAGATGACTCAGAACCTCGGTACAGAGGTAATTTAATCACCCCCTCCCCACATTACCCTCTCCCCTTCTGTGCAAACAATTAGCTAGCAGAAACTTCCGCTAACAATTATCCCCTGCTAAAGCTGCTGCTTGAATTAAGCACACAGAACACAGCAGAAGCGGCATCAAAATCAGTTTATTGGGAAACCAGTCACTTAGAGACATTACATTATAAAGAGATGTAGAGAGAGATCTGAACATTTTAGAAGATACTGTACAAAAATACTATGTTTCTCTGAATCATATAACCTTTTAGCAGTGCTTCTTTTTAAACAGTTCTGACCTTAAATACTATTTTCAGAAACAAAAAAAGGGGGTCCCCCCCATTTTTATTTCCCTTTCTAACAGTTTGAATGCGTTTGGTGAATTCCAAATTAGAGTCTTAAAGTTAAATTCTGTACTGGTGCCAAATGGCTTTCTGAATAGTATTTGAAGAATATGATTTTGAAGAGGATAAATATTTCCTTGCATTACAACTTTAATATGTGCACCTACATGGTGATGCGAAAGCATCAGTCAGCTGATAGGAAGTAAAAGGAATACCTGCTCCCTCGCAATATATGTGGAAAGACATAATCCTAACCTCTAAGGCAAGTGTACTGATATTAGTCACAGTAATATCTGGGTAGTCACAGTAATATCTAGGTACTGATATCACTGTACTGATATTACTGTCACAGTGATTCCCAGATGATGATTTCTGAGAGGAAATTCAAATGAAAGGGGGCAAAGAAGTTTTACAAAATGAGATCCACCGAGCAAAGTGGTATGAGAGGCTCCCAAACTCCTTAAACCACTTTCTAACATAGCATCAGTTGGACGAAGTTTTCAGTTGTCAAAACTAAGGCACAATTTCTCATCTTCCAAAACTACTCTGAAAGTTGATGTTATTAAGCTGTTTCGATGGGAGAGCAAAACAGCTCTTAGGAAAAAAATGGTAAATTTAGTCAAGCTAATGACCCTCTCTGGCATCATACAGATCAATAAGGAAAATGGAGTTTTCTGGCGTTTGACTGGAGTTAGTGTTTTGGGGAACTTTAAATTGAATTCAGTCAAATCAGCTGCCAAAAGGCAGCTACCTATAGAACCAGGGGCACTTTGGATGCCTGCAGTGTCAGGCTGGGTTCATTTCCCAGTCAGGGAACCACACCATCCACCTGTTGGTTGTCATACTGTAGCAGCTGTGTGTTGCTGTGATGCTGAAAGCCATGCCACCGGTATTTCAAATACCAGCAGGGTCACCCATGGTGGACAGGTTTCAGCAGAGCTCCCAGACTAAGACAGACTAGGAAGAAGGATCTGGCCACCCACTTCTGAAAAAATTGCCCATGAAAACCCTATGAATAGCAGCGGAGCACTGTCTGATACAGCACTAGAAGGTGAGAGGATGGCGCAAAAAAACCAGGCAGGGTTCTGCTCTGCTCTACACAGGGTTGCTAGGAGTCCAAATCAACCCAACAGCACTAACAACAACGTGTTACATTACATTTTGAGAACTGTAAAGAACCAAGTAGGGGTGCCCATATCCAGAGTTGAACAGGAGAGAACATGCTTATCAAAATTACCTCTGTTAAAAAGTGGGTTCTTGGTCAAGTTAACTGGAAACTTGCCAACTCAGGACATATTCTATGACCTTCATGGTGAGTAATGGGAAAATCACACTTAAAAACTCCAACAACTTTTTAAAATTCACAGTTACAAAAATACTATAACATCAAGTTGGAAGGGAAAACTAGTCTCCTGTCCTTCAAAACAAAGTCAGACCCATTTCATATCTCTGTTTTAGCATGAATCTGCTTTACAGGATTGGAAAAGTACATTTAAAGGATTCTCCTGAGAAGGTCAAGTCTCTCAACCTTCCATTCTTTTTAGAGGAGTTGCAGTGTGACCAAGGCAGAGAGCAACCACCCTCTACGACTCTCCAAGCCTGGTACTCTGGAGACCAAAGAAATGCTGGTGGATATGGGGAAGCGCAGACATCCACATTCCCTCAGGGAATTTTGCTGGTGGCAGCCCAAGGCAAAAAGCAGTCAAGAGAGAGAGTCTAAATAACTGTAAACAGAACATAGACATTAAACCTTGTTGCAGTTAGAGGTCTTTTCTGGAATATGAGTGTGGTCTTGCAGGGAAAGCAAGTGTTTTTCAAGGTGAACAGTCCTTATATATGAAGATGGCTTTGTACTGTCAGGAAAATGTGTTTGAAGCAGTTTGCCTACTAGCAATGAAGGATTTATACTAATTTAACCTCAGGCCTTGGCCCAGTTCCTTTGGTAACCAACAGCATGCACAGCAGATGCCCTGGGACCACAGAGCTCAATAAAGCTAGCCAGTTGTTCCTGAGGGCAGTGGGAGAGTTTAAACCCAGGACCTGGCCTCACATTCTGTACAAGGGTCTTCTTTATCATGAAGCCTAAAATAGGACATTTTGTTCTAATTCCCTCAAACTGGGTCATGTCTCTTTTTATTTTGGTTTAGCACATTAAATTAAGCAAGAAGTCAAAACACACTTCTTTTTCTTGCTCTGATGTAGGACTGTGTGCCAGGTTAAGGTTAAGCACACTTTTCAACACTTCCAATAGGGATAACTCCATCTCTATTGAGGCTCCAAATTATGTGGATTTCAGTAAGAGCTCATATGCTTCAGAGAGTAGGAAGAGAGTCCCAAAAAGTATTTGATGACTTGGCAACTATCACCACTAACTCCCTATTAACTTCTAAAGCAACCAAAAGCGTAGAATGATTTGGGATAGGTTTATCCTGGAAATTTTATCTGATGGACATATTGAGGGTCATCAGAGTGCTTTTGAAAAAATCAAAATCTGAGGACTTAAATTTCAGGCTGGATATTCCTTAGTGCAATATATCATGCACAACCAGAATTTTACTTTCCCCCATAAAATAACAGTTACAGGGAGTATCAAAGACATAATTCTTGCCCAAAACTGAAAATGAAGACTTGGAGTATTGAGAAATCTCATACAGTTAGCCACTGGAAAGCAAAAGTCCCTTTGGAAGAACTTCAGAAATGCAGCACCAAAGTTGAAATTCATACTCTGAGAGCCCAATCAGGGAATCCAGAGATATACATCAAATTAATAATTTCTATGACCTTTGGTTTAGATAATAAAATTAAGCATTTAGTTCTACCATATGTTGTATAGTTGCATTAAAATCCACAACTGGGGAATAAGGGATCTGATAGGAACCAACACTGGCTAGTGATGCTGTGTTTCTCAAGCCAATGGAGTAATTAAATGAGAGATTTCTCCCTGGGCATAAAACTGCTGTTGCCAACATAAAATGTTTAATTAAATTGGCCTGGGTATATTAAAGATTAAATTAGAGGAGGGTAGCTATAAATCTGTGCTGTATTTTCAAATCCATGTCTGGTCAAGTCAGATGCAGGCTCACAGGGGTTTTATTCTCCCTGACCACAAGGTGAAGCCAGGGAAGCCATGACTCATTAAAATGTCCTCAGCATGTCTCTCACCCGTGTCTGCACTTTACTTGTGTACAGGTAATTATTGTCATTCAGCAATGTCTTTAAATCCTTTTTGCAAAAGTGGGTTTTCAGATCAGAAAAACAGCAGCTATTTTAAGTTATTTACATCTCTGAACATGCTCCAGTTTGAAGAGATAAAAGTCTTTATTCCCCTGAATGTTTACATAAGAAATTTGTTTACAGACGTGTTTTTTATACAATACTTGTGTAGCAATGTTCAAATTTCACATTTTTACTGCAAAAGATAGCTTTGTGTACCTCTGTTTGTCTTCTTGGGGAGGACAGGATAAAGACCTGTGGTAAATGCTCCACGTGACAAGGTGGTGTGCAATAGGGCAGTAGAATACAGGACACTACATCCAAGTGGGAACCAAGAATGTGTGTTCCATCCTAGCA